ATAATAATAAAATAAATAATAAAATACAATATCGGAATAATAAACTAATAAAATAATAAACTGTTCTATAACAGCACTTTGACTTGTGTCAAAACTTAAAAATTATATGTATATAACTTCATTATTAGACTGCATATTTCAAATTCTCTTATTATCCCAACTTTAAATCTATATTTTATTTCAAAATATAACAAATATATTGATTCTACATGTTCTTCTAATCTTGTTTTAACTAATTGGTGTATAAGTTCTTAAAAACCTTTCAAGTCTTCAACATACCAAGACTATGTTTCTAAATAAAGAATAAATTACTTCTTATATAGCCACATGTTTGTTATATTTATATCACAAAGTTATCAAATATAGAAGTGGTAAACAATGCTAATCTTTTGATAAAGAGTAACTAAATCTCTCATATTTTGTCAAAATTGGTTTTGGAAGTGTCAAAGTGGTAAAAGAAATTTTGGTTTTGTGAGTTTTCAATTAAAAAAAAATTTTTTAAAAGTTCATTAAATCTTTTTGTCTTCAAACTTCTTAAGTTTTCTTTTCTACTTAATATATAAGGAAAGAAACATCTTAGCTTTAAAGTTTATAAATAATTTTATATATTTTTGCTATAATTTTATATATAAAAATTTATATCCAAAATTCTGTAAAAAACTAGGTGACTGATATATTAAAGTTTTTTTTAATATTAATGATAAGACTATGTCTTCAACTTTATTGAAATTTAATTAAACTGTTTTACAAAAAAAAAAATTACATTTAAATTTCATATTTTAAGATAGCAAGAAAAAAGACTCAAATTGGTTTATCTGTAATCTAAACTACTGATATATTAAAATTAAATTAGATTTTAAATAATCATATATAAGAAAAATTGTCTTTTTAATATTTTTGATTAATTTATTTAAGATAGGTTTAAATTAATATTTTTTGTATTTTTTAGATTTTTATTTTTTGTTTTTTTTTTACTAATCATTATCAAAATTTTATAATTTAATTAATGATTAATTACATAATTTATTTACACTTTAAATGACTTTTTATTTTGATAATAGGTATATTAATTTTTAGAAGAAGATAAACTAAATTGTTCACTTTTTATAAAATTTTTCTTAAATTTAAATAAGAAGATTAATAAAAATATATGAAATTCTTTTGTAAAGTTTATAATTATATAAATATTTTTTAAACTTCTAGTACTATTAATAAAGATTATGCTACTACTTGTTTTTAAAATACTTTTTTGGTTTAGATATCTTAACCTAAAACAAACTATCTAAATTATACCCACTTCTCAATATATTACATCTGCTTAATTTTGTTAACAAGAATATTATCTATCTTGAACACTCTTATAATATTTTTTTTGTAATTCAATTTTCTAATATTGTTAATTAAAAAATCATTAAAAAAAATTAGATAAAATTTTTTGATTAGCAAAAAAAAAAACAAATCATAACTTTTATATTATATCTGATTCTTTATCTAATTAGCTAAAAATCATATTTCGGAAAATTTTTTATAGATAAGTTACAGAAGTTATTATTCTGTAAAATATCTCTTATAATATATATAAACAAAATTATTTCAGATTCTAAAATCCAAAATTAAAATTTAAAGATAAAATTGTTTTTACTTTATTTATTTAAAAGATAAATTTTTTGATACTTTTTTTAAATTAATAAATTATAAAAAACATAAATGTGTACATTAGATTTGCTCAAACTTTCACTTACTTAAAATAGGCCTTTTTCAAAAACCAATTTCAAATTACCTATTTTTGTGACCCGGCCCGGCCCGCATCTACAGCTGTTTTCATAAATTCTGAAAAATCTGGCAAAAATTAACCGACCAAATATTTGCCGATTCGATAAGCTTTGATTCGACAGTTGATTCGGATGTAATCACATCCGAATCAAAAGTTTATCAAAAACATATCGCATCGGCAAATATTCGGTCGGTCAATTTTTGCCAGATTTTCCAGAATTTTGAAAACAGCTGTAATGTTAAAATTTTTTTACCGGCCCGGCCCAGCCCGCATATCGATTTTTTCTCTGCTCGGCCCACAAAATTTATTATAAAATTTCAAAAATTTTGGCCCACCCGGTCCGCAGATACTTTAGGCCCGGCCCGGGCCATGGGACCCAAAGCAGGCCTCTACCCCTTATCCACAGATATCCAAGAATGTATTATCCTATTTTTGTCGCGGATGATCGTGAAATCGGATGATGATGATATTTTTAAAATTTTTTGGAGTCCTTTTTTTTTATGATTAAGTTAGGATTTAGGGTTAGAGCTATTAATAAAAGAGTATATGTGGGTTTTGGTAGGGCTTATGTTTTCAAATTGAGGCCCAAATTTCATCATCATCCGATTTCACAATTTTTAATATCAAAAATAAGCGCAAAAAAATAAAGGTTTCGCTCTAAAATAAGAACAGTACATGGAAGTTATGTTACATGGACGACAGGAGATAAATCAGTTTTATTCCTAACTAGAATAATATGAAAGTATGGTTGCACTTCTTGATTGCCCTTGATCCGAAATAAATACACGAATTTTAGATGTTTTTATTTAAAAACTTAAAAATTACAATGACTAATCCAAAGGAATTTTTGATGCAGTGGAAGTATTGTTTGTCATTTGCCAGGTTGGGATTGTTGGACGGTCCGAAGTAATTCCGGGATGAGAGGATATAGATTGAACAATAGGAGAAGTTGGGGTAACAGTTGATGTCGGAGACGATGGTAATACATCATTAGAAAGAGTCCGTCTATTTGCAAGAAGAGATTTTAATGATTTGAGTTCTTGTTGTAAATCATTTAGGGATTGAGATTGAGACTCTTTCGTTTTTTCAAGTAGCTGAAGAGAATACAATAAAAAAAAGGTTAAATAATTAAAGTAACATATAATATATAAGATACATAAAGAAGAGTATACCTTTGGAATCAAGTCTCGTATTGTGTCTACATCTTCTTTTAAATTTCTAAGTTCAACCTCTTTTTTTATTTCATGATCCTTTAAATTTTTCAACATATTATCCAATCTTTCTAAAGCCTCCCTAACTTTAAAAGATTGTTCTTCAATACTTTTTTTAACAAGTTGGATATCAAGTTTGACAGTGTCCAAAGTTTCAGAAGCAGTTGTGAACTGATCAGTAAGAAGTTGTTTGTCTCGATCAAGCTCTTCAGCAGTTGGTAACGTCAAAAGAGGAGTAATATATTTCTGGGAAAAAATTACAAATCAAATTATGATAATATGATAATATAAATAAAAATAAAATCTAATCGAATCAAATCAAATCAAATAAAATCCAATTAAATAAAAAGTAAATTACAACAAACCTTGGCGATCGCAACGATCGCATAGCCAATACCACCAACAAGAACAGCAGCAATGAAATAATCTTTCCAGTCCATTCTTGGAACCGGAGGAGGCTGCATAACTACAGGTTGACCACTTGAAGGGACATTATTAGCCTGAGTATGTTGTGGTATGGCAACTTCGGTATTCTTGGTAATCTCATCACTTTTAGCTTTCCTTAATGCCTCTTCAATTTCCTCGGAAGTTAAACCTTTAGATTCTAAAAAAGCTATACGCTTTTGTAGAGGAGAGCTTTGAACATTTGGATCTTTAAGAAAATTTACAGCGGAATTTATTAAACTTTGCCGAGATGTCGACATATGTACGATCAATTATGAAAACTCATAAGTTTATGATAACGCTTTCTTTAAGCGCGATAATATTATATTACGGATACGATATAGTTTAGTCAGCTGTCATTTATCAATTGTCTAATTGATAATCATCGATAATCATATTTGAGTGCAGTGTATCTGACTGGTATATTCCTGATAAATTTGATTAGCTGAGTCCGATCAGTAATAAATTAAAGGTCCAGAGTCTGGTTTTCCCTTGGCATCACCCATATGTTATAACTGCAAGATGCTTTGAATATTTAGATGCTTTAGACTATCGTTACATTGTAAGAAGACTGCAGTATCTTTTTTTTACTTTGCACAATTTTAAATAGGGATGGATCTTTTTAACCGGTCCTCGGTCCTGAGACCAGTTCGGACCGGTCTTCATAAATAACTTATTAAAAATATTATAGTGTTAGCTGTTCTCAAATTCTGGGACCAAATGATAAAAATTGTTTCAGCCGAATTCGATGAGTTTTTGAATTCGGTGTTATCGACATTGGATTTCGGCATTACAGTAATGTCGGCCGAAACAATTTTTACTTTATAAACTACCTTCTTCAAACCCGTAACCCTAACCCTAACTCTAACAAAATGAACATTAAAGAAATTTTGCTGCGCTACAAACCTAGCACACATTCAAGTAATGCAAAGAGGCACTTTACCATTCATTCAAGGTACATGCATATCTCCTTGATTTATAGGTTCATCTTAAATTATTTTTGAAAAAAAGTAATTCTGACAAACATTTCAGTAAACATGAAAATTGAAGATTTAGGATCGGATCATCGTATTTTGTAAAATATTTATCACGTGTAATGTAAAATACTAATACTCAAGTAGTATCGCTTTGCAACAGGCCAATGCATGACGGAAGTTCATTTCCAATGAAAAATACTAGCGATAGAATTCTTAGCTCGAAATAAGAATTTAAAATTGTATGAGATCGAATTTTCCATGATAAGTTATTCTGACAATGCTGATCCGAATTGTCTTCGTATCCTTAAACTCCAGAAATTATTTCACCACTCTAATTTAATTTCACATCGAAAATATTTGAATAATTCGAGTAAATCTTCATTTTGGATATCTGACTGCCGATTTTCTAGTAAATAAAGGACGAATCTAAGTAATATTTATTTAGAGTAGTAGGTGTTTGGTCTCAGAGTGCTGTCCGTTTAAACAATTTATAATCGTCTAAATTGACATAAATTGACATAATATATGACCACTAACCAATATCATGGTATAACCTGAATTCCAACAGATTTAGCTGTAGCAATAATACTTTTACAAATGCCCTTCAGCCCAAGATCTCTCATATTTTCTTGTTGCTGTTTAATTAGTGCAATTTCATAAACATGTTTCAAACTAATTTTTCCGACTATTTCTGTACCAGGTTTACTTGCTCCTTTCTCAACTCTGGCTGCTCGTTTTAAAAACCATGTTGTAGGTGGTAACTTTGTAACAAACGAGAAGGTACGATCAGGTTTTATTGTTATGATTGTTGGAATTGGTGTATCAATCTCGTAATCTTTAGTACGCTCATTAAATTGTTTGCAAAAGTCTATGGCTTTTACACCACGTTGACCTAAAGCTGGTCCTATAGGAGGCGAAGGTGTTGCTTTAGCGGCTGGGACCATACATTTTATTTGAACGTTCTTAACTGTTTTTGCAGCTACTTTAGCCATTTTATTTTATTTTAAAAACTATATATTTGCATTAGCAATTTATTTTTCTGAAACAGATGATAACTACGTATAAAAAAAAAAAAAAAGATCCACCAATAAGATCCATAGATATAATACGTAATTTATTCCGGTAATAATTCCTTAAACGTATTCTGTATCTTTCCACTAAATCATTTTCATTTTAAATCAAAAAAAAAATAATAATAATAAAATGGATTTTCAAATGTATAATGATGCTGAAAAGCAACATCTTCAGAGAGTAATTGAACAAAAGCAGGTATAAAGTTTTAATTGTAATTTGGTAGTTATTCATATTCAATAATTTCACGAATTCTGCTTCAAATAATTCAACAAGATGCGAGACTTTTTAAAATTTTTCACGAGTTTGGTCGAACGATGTTTTGATGATTGTGTTAATGACTTTACTTCAAAAGCTTTAACTTCAAAAGAGGTAAGGTAACTAATTTTATGTCTTCAAATTTGTCACTTCTTGAAAAAAAAATTTCTATGTGAAATCAAAAAAACAAATTTGTTATAGGAAGCATGTATTCACCGTTGTGCCGATAAAGTCTTAAAACATAATGAACGGGTAGGGCAACGATTTGGTGAATTAAATCAACAACTAATGCAGCAGCAACAGCAACAAGCTCAACAGCCTCAACTACCTCAGCAAAGTAGTAGTAAATGGTTTTAAGTTCTGTAATAATAATATCCGCTTTACATTAAATTACATTAAATCTGTTAGGAGTTCAATTAGAATATAAGAATATAAAAACCATACTGAAACTAATAAATTTATAAGATGCTTTATCAGAGTGATAACGGTGAATTCTTTCATTTTATGATTTTTCCCTATCTATCACATATAAAAAAAACATATTGATTGATCATTAACATGCCTATAAAAAAGTATTCTGATTGATTTTTTGGCCAACTTAATATAAATTTTAATGCGGCAGATTAAAATGAGATCAGATTAAAATGAAATGGGATGTAGTGTAAAATAGATGACATACAAATTTTTGGAGGTGGAATTTATAATAAACAAGTACTGTATAAGTGGGTTTTAGAGGGTAAATAAAAACTCTCATTTCATTAGTCATTTTATTTTAATCCGTCAGTGTTTAACAAAGAATAATTTTTTTACTGACTGGTTAATTTTGGATAATAAGAACTTATATCACGAGATCGTTAAAGATCTGTGCAAAACCTTATTAATTAGAACTCATGAGGTAAATTTTCGCGAGAAATACATAAACCAAGAGCATGGAGATAGAAAATTTAGGATTATGATATTAGCTTTAAAGGATATATGTAAACTATTGTTTATTTACTATATGGGGGGAAGTCAGTAGAAATGGGACAAATCATTTTTAGTGAAATTTTTTTAAATTTTAAATTACAATTTCTTGACCAATTTTGATAAATTTTTTTTATTTTAATCTTAAAATTATCTAGAATTAAAATAAAAAAAAATTTATTAAATTTAATAAGACAGTTGACAAGATATTTAAACTTAAAGTTAAGAAAACTTTTACTTAAAAAAAATTTGTCCCATTTCTACTGACTCCCCCCCATATGTTAAATTGTATTCCTGTCATTTTTAATTAGTGCACAAAGGTCATCTTAAACATTATTTTTAAGCATTTCGCGTTTTCTTTTTTTCTTTCACACGTGTACCGGTATGTATTACTAGTGTTATATGAATCGATGCAAAAAACGTAATTGATTAATTGGTTGAAAAATCGATTATAATAATCGATTAGTTGGCAACTCAGCCAACTAAACGATTAATCGATTTTCACATCACTATGTATTACAAAAAAAAACGCGATAATCAACTCAGTTTCATGTGATTGGCCAATCACGAGAATGATAGTTTATAAAAAAAAGTCCGCATACGTATAGATTTCTAAATTTTTAACACTTCTCATTTAGTAAGTTATAAATATATGGGATCTTTGCTAGGAAAATCACCCTTCGAGATTTGTAATTCGGCAAACTTAGACCCAAATACCGGTTCTCATTTACACGTAAACCATCTTTTACTCTATTTATCCTATAGTTTATTTAATATAAACTATAGAATCAATAAAGTAAAAGATGACTTACATGTAAATAAGAACCGGTATTCCGCTCTCGAAGGGTGATTTTCTTAACAAAGATCTCATATATTTTTTTTACTTCAGATGCTATAATGTTTAGGACTGTTATAAAGACGCTTACATGCCATTATTAATTGTACATGATTTTACAGTGATTGGTTTGTACTATTATATAAGCACTGGTGTCAAATATCTAAAATTCGAAAACAACAATATCTGAAAGCACACCACTGGTGTGAAGAGTCGAAGAATCTTCCATTGTCTTCTTCTGAAAGCAATTCAGAGACAAGAAGACATTGGTAAATATGGTGATTTAGATGATTTAGTTACTAGTTATTTATCACTTTCGGAGGTGGGAGTTAGATAGTTTTTTTATAAAAGTGCAATATTATAGAAAGGGTGCTGGTCAAAATCCCGACAAAAAAATCCGACAGTCCAATTAAAAATCCCGACAATCAGGATTTTCAATTAGAAAATCCCAAATATGTGTATGTTTAAAGCGAAGCAGCCTCTTATAATTTAATTAACTTTAGGGTTAGGTCACTTTAGATAAGAGTTAGGCTAGGGTTAGCTATGGTTTATGATATTTTTCATCAGAATTTTTTAATTGTCGAGATTTTGACCCAAACCATATAGAAAAGTGTAGTCTTCCTTGTTGCACAAATCCGAATTTACCGTTCAATTTACAGCTTCATAATTCCTGGAACACCTGATGAAAATTGACCGAATGATGCTTCGGCCGATTCGATTAAGTTTTTGATTTCGTTAAAATAGATACAATAAAATTACAAAACTGTACAGTACGTATGCACATACATACGTAACTTTTACATTAACTAGTGCACTGGTACATAGGATAATAGTATATGCAACTTATCAAATATATAATTGGATAAAGGAATTATATCAAATAATAGTGGTTTGATATGACTAGTATTGTAAACTTAATTAAATTTAAATACCAAAATATATAGTTTAATTTACAAAAATATTATTGTTTAGTAATTGCAAAAATTGCATTATATCATAATTAAATTTAGAATTATAACAGTGAAAATTTATTACAGCAATTCAATAATAATTTTATCAGTGATAAATAATATGATCAATATAAATATTGATTGTTTTTATTTCTTTGAATTTGTCTTATTATAATAATGGATTAATCAATTTTTACAAATTTAAACATGCCAAACCAATTATCTCAAACCGATACTTCAGAAAAAAATAATAACACATTAAAACAAAAAAGTGTAGACTATCCAAAAGAAAAAATTTAGAAATATTATATAACAAGTAATGTTACAAATAATCATAGTGCTATTTGCCATTATTGTTTAAAATATTGGAGCTGTAGACATCTTTTAGAAATAGAGGCTTATCTTGTGAATATTTGTTCTAGTGTTTTTAAAGATATAAAAGAATATTGGCAAGAATTACTTTCAAATAAGATTGTTAATTATAGGTGAACAAAAAGTTCAAATTAAAAACACACAAACCAACTTGATCTATCACCATATAAACAAAATAAAATTGACAAGTTGTTTTAAAAGCTTGGACTATAATGGATATATCATTTAATATTATTAGTAATCTATTTATAGTTGATTTATTTAAATATCTTAATATAATATATATATATCACCTAGTTAAATAATATTTTCTAATAGAGTGTAGCGACTTAGTGAAGTGGTTAAGTTGTCGCACCCCCAAGCGATATATCGGCCAGGTAGGGGTTCGAAACCCACTAGTGATGAATTTCGAATATTCTACTTGTACGATGGCTACTGTCTTTCGACGATCAGTTAGAACAGGATCTTTGTAACCTTGGTGGTACCAACAAGATTGGAAGATCATAGGGTATTCGTATAATGTATGAGTTATACGAAATGTTCCGGTTCATGTTAATCCAAGGAACCAGAAAGATGGATGCTCGCTTGGCAAGACCCGAGG